TAAAGTGAAAAGCATAGAAATGTTGTCAAGGACTTTGTATTCCCAATTAACATTATTTATCTCATTTACTTGTGCATTCACATAAACACACATCTCCATCAATTCTTTAGTCAGTTCTTTTCACTGCACACATTTTGTGAGAAACCAGAGGAAAAAAGCACTCCTTTCCAGCCATAATCTATTGTTTTGTTATTGTTATTTTTAAAGCTAATTGTATTGTTTTAATCTGCTTCTGTAAACCGCTTCAAGCCAAATTGGGAGTAGCGGTATACAAGATAAATAAATACTCATAATAAAAATGCATATATGAAAACCTAATAATAATGCATCAAACTGCATGACAGTTGTAATAGACTCCCCTGCAGGGAAAGGTAGAGGAGGACTTTATACAATCTTCCACTTGGGACCTCTCTTAGCTGAGAAAGGCCTATATGACCTCAGGTATATAGGCATATAAAACAGGTATAAAAATAAAACATTTACTGATAACCAATCAGCATTTGCAATGCTTGCTAAACAGACTGATTTTCCTTTTAAAAAAGTTGTTGAAACCTGTTCTGCAGAGTCCACTATAAACACTGCACAACAGACTTATGTAAATATGTAAAACAGTCACTCGGTGACATTCAGAAGATGTCTGCCATTGTCAAATTGTTGATACCCCAACATTGAGATAAGGTAACTTTTATTGCTTTTGTGATGTCTTATATTGTTTAATGTTTTTTATCTATTATGTTTTATGTATACTGATTTGTTGTAAGCCGCCTTGAGTCGCTAATTGGCTGAGAAAGGCGGTATACAAATACAGTAAATAAATAAATAACTCCATTTGGGGTCAAGACTCACAGTTTAAGAAGCAGTGTGTTGGAGGTCAGGTGTGCATTTAGATCAGCTTTTGCAACCGTGTTTCCCTTCAGATCTGCTCTTCCAAAATTCCATATCTCAGGTGTGGTCCTTAGTCTATTGCTTTAAACTATTTGACCTCACAGAGCATATTTCCAATACAATCATCTATGATTGCCCAAAGGGCTCACATCAGAGTGGCTTATCTATCTCAAGCTCTTTCTTTCACCATATTGGAGATGCAGATAGTAAAAATGCCTAGATGCAGGTGACTCAGTATATTCCAGTAAGGCATACTCCCCAAAGCTCCTGCCTCCCTAGCAACCAGGTGCCCAAACAAATGGTGTCAGTCAGAAACAGCTGTATCTGAGTTTAGCGTAGCCTGATGGTACTTCATAAGAAGGAGTGCCAGGAAGGCTGTGTCAGTACATATAATACAGCCAAGTCCCATTCATCATATCTTCTGGTTACACATTGACAGGGTCAGTCATTCCTTGACAAACATTATACTGATCCACCCAAATCCACACATTGTATAGAGGGATTTATTGGAACCAATGTGGTAAGAACAGAGCTTGAAAAGATTACTTTTTTGATCAATAGTTCCTAGAATCTCTGAAGTTGTATGGGCACTTTTCTGGAAAAGTGCTTCTAATGACCAATTCTTCCTCCCTCTGGAAAAAAATGAACTCAATAGAGCAATTTTTCACTTTTACATATATCAGCAACCTGGCTCCAAACTGGTAGATCTCATTTCTATATATATATATATCATTCCAAGAATATTAGGAGCAGTTGGACATTTGACATGCATTAAAAAACTCTCTGAAGCTATGAGACAATGTATTGACTGAATCTGCCAGAAAAGAGAAGCAGTTGTGGAGAAAAAACTGAGGATGTCAAACTGACATTGCATAGAGAGCAAACTACATATTACAGTCATCCCTCCACTTTTGCAGGTTTCATACTCATGACTGGGATTATTCCTGAGCTTGTACCACTACCACCTCCCAAGTTGAGGCTGCCATGTAAACATTCCTCAGGAGGTGGAGGAGGTGAGTGATTACTCTCCATGCCATACCTGACTCAGGAGATAAGCAGGGGGCTATTTGGGAGGTAAGCACAACATGTGTCTGTTTGCACGGTACTTTCCTTCCTTTGCCTAAGCCAAACAGTTACTTGTGGCATACAGGAAGAAGAGCTGGTCCCATGCACTACTTCACTTACCTTTCTACTTTTCTCTTGTGCCATGAATTTCACCCTGGCAAAGGAGGGAAATGCCTGGGGGAACAGAACCCCATGGCTCACTGGGAGAGGAAAAGGGCCAGGATAGCTGGATGGCAATCTGTCGGGAGTGTTTTGATCAGTGTCCCTGCATGGCAGGGGGACTGGATGGCCCTTGTGGCCTCTTCTAACTCTATGATTCTAAGTGTGGAGTTTTGTACAGAAAAACCCTATTAAAATTCCCAGCAGTTCTTGCCTCTGCCTCTTGATACTGCCTTTGCACTGGGTTCCTATCAAAGGTGCATTGATTTTCTTGCTCTTCTCCATCTCTTTCTTTCAGCCACATTCTTGCCACACAGAGCTCAACTGTTACTGTCATAATCTATTTCCAGCATTTACCTAGCACTGACCCATAGAATGCGATTTTCCTGCTTCTTGACAGGGGGTTGGACTGGATGGCCCACGAGGTCTCTTCCAACTTAATGATTCTATGATATGTTGACCTAGGGTTTTTTGGCTTGATTTTATGTCAAGATGGTTTTATTTATACACAAGGACCTATGGTACATACAGCAAAATTCAGCTACCTTGGTCGATGTAAGAACTTATTTACATTAAATAAGTTATTTGGGCTGTTTTCCCCATATTTTCCAGGACTAGTTTTTATTTGACAAACACTAAAGGTCATAAGAAGTCATACTGATCACCTTTAACAGGTGCTAACTTTATTTGCGCTGAATATTTCGTAACTAAATTATCACCGTCATTGTTTTTAGGTTTCCATTTAAAATGAATCAAAATATGATATGGCGTCTTGCTAATAGATCAGGCACTTTCAGCCAGGACTCAGGCGATTATAAAATAATTTCCCCTTCATTAGCATTTTCTTTCTAAAAGAAGTGTCACATATAGCCTGTTTCCTGTGATTTGACAAGCCTGCATACAGATTTCTTTGTTTGTTTGTTTCAGTATAAAAAGAAAAAAAATAGAGGGTGGGGGATCCAGTAGCACCCTTGAAAAATATTTATTTTAGTTTGAACTTTTGTGGGTGTAAATGTAGTTCTTGAGATACAATAATATCAAACTGGTGTGTCAAATTGCATCATTCTGTATTTTATCATGTTCTGTTCCACGTCTACAACTGTGCTGAAGTGCTTAAATACCCATGCCATGAACATCACTCTATCAATGAAAACTCAGGCTAAAATAAAATGGTCTGAGTGGTATATTAGAATCTATATTCTTCCATGCAGCATTCTCTATGGCATGCTTTTTTCTTTAGTGTCATAAGCACTGAGCTCAGCACATGTGCTCTGAATACTCTTCTACTTCCAGGTTTACGTCCAGTACAGACATTTCAAAGCACACAATTGTTATCACCCCAAAATGTATACATAATCCCTTCCCTGGAACCTTCTGTGAATGCCCATAGCCATTGATGGATGGGCATAAAAGACAAATGCATTGGTCCGTATTAGGAGATGTCTTGCTAACATTGCTGTATCTCCAAAATCAATCTATATCAAGGATTTAGATGAAAGGGTATAGGGAATCCTCATCGAACTTGAATATGAGTATACTCATATTCAAGTTGAATATACTTGGAGGGGTACCTAACAAACTGGAAGATAGAAACAGAATCCAGAAAACTGGGTTGAAATTAATAAAATGAAATTCAAATACAAAATTCTACATTTAGGTCACAAATGTGTAGGATGGGGGGATACATAGCTCAGTAGAGCTACAACATGTGAAAAGGGCCTTGGGATTATTGTTGATCATGAACTGAACATGAGCCAGCAAAAAAGGCAGATGCTATCTTTTCCAGCATTAATAGAAGCATAGTTGCCAAGTCAAGTTCAGCACTATATTCTGCGGCGCGTTGCTCAGGCAGACCTGGGTTCACTTCTGGGTGCCTCATTTTAAGAGGGATACAGACAGACAAAATGAAGAAACTCTGAAGACAGACAACAGGGACAAGAAGAACTATGACAAACAAAACATGTGAGGAGAGGTTGAAGAGGCTGGGCAGTTGAACCTGGTAAAGAGATGACTGAAAGGTGACATGACTGCACTCTTCAAATACTGCAAGGGAAGCTATAAAGTGGAGGGTGTCGGCTTGTTCTCTGCTTCCTCAGAGGGCAGAACTAGATCAAAGCTTTGCAGTTACAGAAGAGCAGATTTAAACTGAATATTAGAAGGAACTTTTTGGCAGCAAGAGCAGCTAGCAATGGAACCAATTGTCTAGATAGTTGATGTGGTCTCTTTTTCTGAAGGTCTTCGAATAGAGGCTGGACAACTACCTGCTAGGGATGCTCTGGCTGGAGATCCTGGAGTGAACAGGGAGTTTATTTATTTATTTATTTGTTTATTTAATATTTCAAGCATTTATACCCCGTACTTCTCACACACCCACGGGGGGGGGGGGCGGGCCATTCAGCCAAGAAGCAGGAATATTGCATTCAAAGCACCCCCGACAGATGGCCATCCAGCCTCTGTTTAAAAGCCTCCAATGAAGGAGCCTCCACACACTCCGGGGCAGAGGTCTCACAGTCAGGAAGTTCTTCCTCATGTTCAGATGGAATCTCCTTTCTTGTAGTTTGAAGCCATTGTTCCGCATCCTAGTCTCCATGGAAGCAGAAAACAAGCTTGCTCCCTCCTCCCTGTGGCTTCCTCTCACATATTTATACATGGCTATCATATCTCCTCTCAGCCTTCTCTTCTTCAGGCTAAACATGCCCAGCTCCTTAAGCCGCTCCTCATAGGGCTTGTTCTCCAGACCCTTGATCATTTTAGTCACCCTCCTTGATGCCAAACATAGTACTAACAATCAACACTAACTGACAATTAAACAACTAAAGCAATTATAAATATAGCAAAAATTAGAAAATATTAAAATTGCCAGTTTAAAATCATGATTCAGGATCAGACCATTGCTGGTTGCATAAGTCAATCACATTCCAATGCTATATTTATTGTTCAAAGGCTTGACCCTAAAACCAGGTCTTAAGTTTTCTTCGGAATACCAAGAGGGAGGGGGAAGCTCTGATATCATTTGGGAGGGAGTTCCACAGCTGAGGAGCCACCACTGAGAAGGCCCTGTCTCTCGTCCCCACCAATCATGCTTGGGAAGGAGGTGGGATCGAGAGCAGGGCCTCCCTGGATGATCTTAAGGTCCTAGATGGTTCGTAGAGGGAGATATGTTAGGACAGGTAAACTGGGCCAGAACCGTTTAGTGCTTTATAGGCTAAAGTTAGCACTTTGAATTGTGCTTGGAAGCAAATTGGCAGCCAGTGGAGCTGGCATAGCAGGGTGGTTGTATGCTCCCTGTAGCCTGCTCCAGTGAGCAATCTGGCTGCCATTTATTGGACCAGTTGAAGCTTCTGAGCAGTCTTCAGAGGCAACCCCACATAGAGTGTGTTACAGTAGTCTAAAAAGGATGTAATAAGAGTGTAGATTAGAATGGCCAAGTCAGACTTCCCAAGGAGTTGGTCTCTATGATTCTATGAAATGTTTTTGGTGAGGAATTACTGCAAGGTGGGTGACTTTTGTTCTGGAACAGCTGTTCCAGGAGCTCCAATTTTATTTGCTTTGAATTAAATGTTGGCTTGCAATCCCAGGCTTGGGATTTTGCAGTAGGGTGGCTTCCTGTTATAGTTTGCAATCATAGGGCAAGCCACCTGTCTATTATAGTTAGGATCCCTGGTCCCGCCCCTCTCTGGGTTTTTTGGAGGGAAGGGGCCATTTTTCAGTTAGTCTCAGCAAAGAAAGTCAATGCAGAGGATGTATACAGACGTCCTCCTGTGCAAAGGCTTCGTCCCTTAAGACTTTCTGGGGGAGAATAGTCTTGAGAGCCTCTAAAGATTCCCAAAGGTTCTGGGGAAACAGCCTTACAGCCCTGAGGAATTCCGGAGGGAATAACAACTCTAACCATCAAAGCAGCTAAGTGATTACAGGCCTGTTGGTTCATCTGCTCAGTTCTGAGACACAGTTCAAGCAGTAGTGGATTCAAATCGGTCAGGTTTAAGTTCACAGCAGCCTGGGAGGAGCTAGAAAGGGGAATTTTCCTTTAAACAAATTTTTTGAAGATAGTGCCTGTTCCCTGTGAACAAGATTGCAAGAGCCAAGAGACTGTTAAGAAAGCTTTACAATTCCTGTTTGTTCATCAGTAAAAGACTGTTATATTTAAGCTCAAGCCTCATAAAGACTGTTTAATAAGGGAAATTTCTCTAAAAGCTTCTTTTCGGGTACCCTGGCTTCCCACTGGATCCAAGCCATACATCCTCTCTTAAAGGCACTTCATTTCAGGTCCAGCGGCGACAGAACAACTTTTGAACTCTAGGTTATTAATGCAACCAGCACAAAATTTCTTCTCCTGTGTACAAAACATAAGTAAGTCTCACTGAGAAAAAATGTATCCCAAAGTGGGTTTGACTATTGAAAACCCACCTGGCACCGTAGGAATGAGTTGGAAGAAACAACAACAGAGATGGGATCAAAGTCCAGAGCATGAGATACAATCCCAGCTTAGAAAGAAGAGGCCTAGTGCTGAAAGACACAAGACGTTGTCCTTTTACATATTGCGAAATCTTTCTTTGCTCTTTTTTCCCACTTGGATACTTGCTCAGCTGCAGCCAGGGTGCTCCCATTTACACATACATAAAGCATTCAGACAACAGTTCCCACTTCAAATATCCAAGTTGGCTGCTTTGGGCACAGAAGTACTTCTTTTGGTTCATATGTCAAGTCTGTCACTTGTTCTGAGGATCAAGGCGGTGATGGTGTTCCTGAGAGAGTGTGCCACGGCGACGCCGGCATAAGGACGATCGTGTGCCACGCCTTTTACACAGGGCAAGGGTCTTCCAGGCCTCAGCTAAACTTTCTACCTAGATAGGGGCAGAAACAAATATATTATTTCCCAATTACTGGTGGGCAGGAATGGAACCAGGCAAGGAAACAAATGCAAGCAAACACAACAGGGTAGTAGAGGAATGGGGGAAATAGATGGCAGTCCTCCTCTTTCTTTTCAGATGCAGTGAAGCCCTCAATGACAAAATTACCACACTTGCTCATACAGCACTTCATTTATAAGTGGAATCTGTTCTTGCAAGGGTACAGTAGAGTCTCGTTTATCCAACATAAACAGGCCAGCAGAACGTTGGATAAGTGAAAATGTTGGATAATGAGGGATTAAGGAAAAGCCTTTTAAACGTCGAATTACATTATGATTTTACAAATTAAGCACCAAAACATCGTGTCTTGCAACAAGTTGACAGAAAAGGCAGTTTAATACATGGTAACATTATGTAGTAATTACTGTATTTACGAATTTAGCACCAAAACATCGCAATATATGAAACAGCTGTGGATCCAGGTGGGAGGCAGACTGCGTTGGATAATACAGAACGTTGGATGAGCGAAGGTTGGATATGCGAGACTCTACTGTTTATTGCAAAGTGGATTGCTCCACTACAGTGTTTTAGCTGGCCACCCACACCTTCGTGACTGAAAATCAACAAAATCATAATACCCGTCTCTCCTTATGACTCAAGACAAGGTACAACAGGGTTAAAACAGAGAGGTAAAACATTAGACTATTAAAATATTTATAATAGAATACACACCATTAAAATGCACATTAAAATTCACTAATAAAATGCAAGTTCAAATTCAGAAGTTAACACTGACTGGATAGGCGTGCTGAAAGAGATTTGCCATTTGTTAGTTAGCATGATATGGCCACAGAGCATTCCTAGATCTCATTGGATCCTTTGCATCCCCCTTCATATTTTAATTTAATTTATTGTGCAGAGGTTATTGGTTTTTTAGAAAAAAAAATACTGGGATAGAACATTCCATAAAATGGCATTTATAATACCTTATTAAATTAGTTGGGAGAACCTCATTAAATAGATAACTTTGAATAAAACTGCACAATCATACCCCTAAGGATAGAGATGTAAACAGAAATGTATTTCACAAAGGACATTCTTTGTTTGGATTATTACTTTGAGTAGAAGATGAAAGGATGAGAAGGCAGCAAGGAGCCCTGTCCCTCTCTTCCTCTAAGGGGCAGCCTTACTCAGTCGATCAGCGACATGTAGATTCTCAAACTGGGACCTCATCTAAGTTTTCCCAGCTTTCCTGGGGAAACCCTGTGAACTCATATATGAATGTTCTCTAAAATTCCTCTCTTGGAAAACACCTTTTGGTGACAATTTTTTTGACACCCAGGGTGTCAAGGCTGGGGATACTGTCAGCAAACCATAAGCTATGTATTTCCCACAATGACACCCTGAATGTGCTCCTTGATCCATCTTCCATTCTCACATTTTATTTTCATTATCATACGAGGTTTAAATAAAAAGTAATGTTTCCACCTTCGTAACTCCTCAACAGATGGCAATACTGATATATGGCAGGTACTGGCTTGTTCAGTAGACTCTCCTCTACAGTTTCATTCAATTAGCATTGAATGGCTGTGTTGTTAAAGTGTGAAGTATGGAACCCTGCGCAGACGGTTGCTCAATGCGACTTAAGCAACGTGCAGTCATTAAATTCTTGACAGCAGAAGGTGTCACCCCAAAGCAGATTCATCAGAGAATGCAAGCTGTTTATGGTGATTGTGTTGATGTGAGTACTGTGCGTCGTTGGGCAGTAAAGTTTAAAGATATTGAGGTGGGAACATCTGACTTGCATGACAAACAAAGAGTTGGACTTCCTGTGACAGCAACCACCGAGTTTCACAAGCAAAAGGTTGACAGATTGATTCAGGACGATTGTCGTATCACTCAGAGAGAAATTTCAAGCATAATCGGCATTTCACAAGAATGTGTGAGTCACATTATTGCTTTACTTGGCTATCAGAAGATCTGTGTACGATGGGTATCCAGGATGCTGATTCTTGAAATGAAAGCGCATAGACTTGAAACTTCAGAGACTGGATCTCACCACCATACGACATCCTCCATACAGTCCAGATTTAGCACCGTCTGACTTCCATCTGTTCCTGATAATGAAAGAAGATCTGCGGGGACATCATTATGCTTCTGATGAAGATGCTGAGAGAACTGTGAGACACTGGTTGCTGAAACAGAGTGTTGACTTCTTCTGTGACGGCTTTAGAAAACTTGTTAATCATTGGCAGAAATGTATCCACTTATCTGGTGATTATGTGGAAAAGTGAGCAGTGGTAGTTAAAGAACACATTCTAAGGATTATTTCTGCGTTTGATTTATTAAAATATTCCCATCCAAACCCGAGTAACAAAGGTGGAGGCATTACTTTTCATTCAACCTGTGTAGTACGTTTCATTGGCTTGCTTTTCTTTGAATCCTGTTCAACCTCGGGGTAGAACTAGTATGCTTCAAAATTCTGTCGGGCATTGAGGTTTTCTTAATACAGGATGGCTTGAATTCAAAGGAACACACTCCTTGTCCATTTATTTCAAAGCAGGGTTGTCAGGTAGAATGCACAATAGCAAAATCTTCACAGCCCCGCTTCCTTGTCCCATGAGCCACGAGGGGGTGCACCAACACAACACCCACCTCATAATGAAAAAGAAATACCAAAGAACACAAAGTTATCACCTAGCAATAAGGGGTTTTGACTTTTCATGGTGTGTCTATAGTTTGCTTCAACACAAAAGCAGACAACCACTGTGAGTCTGATGCCAACTTGATTCATATGGGATCACCTGGATTTCCCCTCCACCCCCCCCCCCTACACACACACACCACCGCCGTCGCCGCAATTCAAGTGTCTGGCAAAACAGGAGAGAGGTCCTACAGAAAGCAAAATGACCTTGCAAAGAGCCACATGATTCCCATCCCAGCCTTAAGTAGAGCAAGTACATTCGAGACACATAAAAGTTGAATTTGAAATGGGAGCTTTCCTCCAGTTTTGTTAAAATATGGACATTAGAGTGAGAGAAATATAGGAGTTTTATTTCAGATGAGCAAGGGGTGAAATTAAACTGCTGGATTGTTCTGGTCCATCCTATGATGGTTCGCTACTCTGGTAAGTTTCAAAGCAAGGAATGCCTGAAACAAGCGGAAATGTGTTGCTGCTATGATTTTCTGCCCAGAAGACTCTGTTCACGCTGTATTTTTCAGGTCAGGACCACCTCAATGCCTCTTGGCTCAGGGTTGTATGGTGATGACTATAGTTTACAACGTTACTATTCTCGTGACAAGTAGACAAACATTCCAGAACATATATTCCTTCCTAACCCCGTGAACTTAGTCCTTCTTGTTATGCTTTTTGTTAACAATGCAGTAAATTTGTCTGTTAAGGCTTTCAGGCACAGTCTTGCTTCCTTTTAAAGGCATTAAGGGGAGTAAAGGGCTATATCTCTCTGCCAAAGTATGATGAAAGCAGAGTAGCTCCTGCCCTTTGAAAGAGCCTCGTGTTGGCTCTGGCTCCAGTTCAGAGGGAAATAAGATTGTGAAGTAAGGAATGTCCTTTGTGGAGCTCCTGGGAACATACAATCTCTGCAAACTATGCAAGCTGTATGGGAATACACAAAGTCACAAGCACAGGCAAACTTTCTGTAGTCATTGGTCAAGCTGGTAACCTTCCATCTATCTCATCTCTCACCGGTATGAGCTGGTCCCTTCTGTTCTCCTCCTCCAATGTGGTCAGCTCACTTGGGGACAGCAGAGCTAGACGCAGGCCTGGCACCACTGTCTCTGCCATTTCACGCACAGATTTGCCCAGCACTGCCTGCAGAAGGGAAGTCAGAGGTCAGCACAGGGTCCTCATTCCATGACATGAGGATGAGTTGTCCCCTTTTATTACTTAAAATAACTTTTTAAAAATTACAGTATGAACCTGACAAGAGAAAATCAGAGGCAGAATTCTCAAACCCATGACACTTTCCTTTTTTCACCTCCCACCCCCAGGGCAGAGAAGCAGATGGCAAAAACAGAAGAACAGCCTGCCTCAGGGACGCATGCTCTCTCCATCAATGCTTAACATTTACACAAATAATCAGCCACTGCCGAAGGGACAGAGAGTTTCATCTATGCTGATGATCGTGCCATCACCACCCAAGCAAGGAGCAGAAGCCCTTTGAAGCTTTAGGTGCTCTTGTTGCCTGTTACAGGAAAAACCAGCTGATTCCAAATACATATAAAACACAAATACCTGAGAGTTACATTGGACCATGCTCTGACTTACAAGAAGCACTGCTTGAATATCAAGCAAAAAGTAGGTGCTAGAAACAATATCATAAGAAAGTTGACTGGCACAACCTGAGGATCGCAACCAGGTACAGGTCCTTGCACTTTGCTACTCTGCTGCTGAGTACACATGTCCAGTGTGGAACACATCTCACCAAACTAAAACAATGGATGTGGCTCTTAATGAGACACCCCACATTATCACAGGATGTCTACGCCCTACACCACTGGAGATATTATACTGTTTAGCCGGTATTGTACCACCTGACATCCGTCGGGAAGTAGCAGCCAGTAATGAAAGGACCAAGGCAGTGACATCTCCGGCCCATCCCCTGTTTGGATATCAGCCAGCACACCAATGCCTTAAATCAAGAAATAGTTTTCTAAGATCTACAGAGATACTTGCAGAAACACCTCAGCAACTGAGAGTCCAAAAGTGGCAGGCTAAAACCCGAAACCTCAAGCCATGGCTGATACCAAATGAGATAATCCCTCCTGGGCACACAGAAGACTGGGCAACTTGGAAGGTACTGAACAGAATGTGCTCTGGCACCACGAGATGCAGAACCAACCTTGAGAAATGGGGCCACAAAGTGGAGTGCACAACATGCGACTGTGGAGAAGAGCAAACCACAGACCACTTATTACAATGCAGTCTGAGCACAATGGAGGACCTTCTTATAGTAACACCAGAGGCATTCCAAATGGCCAGCTACTGGTCAAAGGACATTTAATATAATACCAAGTTTTAAAAAAACTTTGTGTTTTTGAAATATATTACAACTGTACCCTCGGTTCACTTCTGATACAATAAATAAATACTTCCCACCCCCAGTTAAAGAGCACTTACAGATCCAACATGAGCCCATTCACGAACAGCATGGATCAGTTTCACCTCATCAATAGCCAAGCAGTTGCTCCGTAGGATAATTTGCATTGCTGGTTCTGACAGCTCAAGGAAGCCACGTGTTTGAACCACTTCCTAGATATATATGAAAAAAATGTGATTACCTATAGGATGGACGTCACCTTTATGACATTAAAGGCTAGTGGCTATGAGAAGGGAAAGGACAACAGCTGGGAGCTTCTAAGCACAGATGTTCATATGGAGCTTAGGATTGAGGCAGTTCATTCAATTGGCTGGCAAGCTGCATTGCCACCCGCTCCTACACCAAAACGATTACTGGACCTCTCTCTCCTAGTTTCCTATTGCACTGTGGGACTGGAAACTTATTCAGGTAAGACATATCACAAAATTTAAAGGATAGGGGCATAGCTACAGGGAAATGAGGACACGCAAATAAGAATTCTGTCCTCCTCTCATGAAATGTTCCCTCTATCCCTACAATTTAATTATTGTAAAGAATAAGTTATGGAAATAATTTACACCAAGAACATTTGCACCAAAAATTTGCTGGGCACATATTCTGTTGGTTAGTGTGTTTGTTAGAAGTATGGAGGGTGGAGACTAAAGGAAAGTTTCATTGAAAGTGTCAATACCCTCATTTTGCCCTACCTGTAGCACCCTTGATTAGTGGTATCCTGTACCCTGTACAATAAAACTAGCTTTCTGCCAATATTGTACCAGAACATGATCTGAAAGCAACTTTTATATAGATATAGATATATAGATATAGATGTAGATGTAGATATAGGCTGCAATTAAGTTGGTCTGTTCAATACTGGGGGAGAGGCTGCCTGGAAATCCTGTATATGCTATCACAGGTTCCATGAAAGAAGAGTATGTGGCGTAACTATAGCAAATACACGACGTGAAACACAAGAAGGTCTGTACAAGTTTAGCATGAAATCTGCTCTTCTCTGTGACTGGTTGCCTTGACATTCTTTACGCTTCGGAGAACCCCTTTACCAGTCCCCAGGCTTACCTCAGTACAATTTTCGATGAAAGTCAGGCAATATTTCTGCAAGTCTATTAGCTCATATGCAACTGCTGCCTGTCACAAAGAGAGCAGAACAAAAAAATTATAAAAGATTGTGAATGCAGAGAAAATTGAGTGATTGGATGGGCATCAACAAAGCTGGGATCAAACTGCTATGGCCTAGATCTAAATGAAGTAAGGCAGGAGTGGATAACGCTGCCAAGATCAACTGGAGGAGAAATGTTCTACACAGAGAATGCTTCGGGGGAAGTACAGAGATTCGGAAAGAAGGAGGGAAGGAAAGAGGGAAGGAAGGAGTTTTTGACTATTTCTAGTTTGGGTTGTTGTGTGTTTTCTGGGCTGTATGGTCATGCTCCAGAAGCATTCTCTCCTGACGTTTCACCTGCATCTATGGCAGGCATCCTCAGAAGACCTTACAACCTCTGAGGATGCCTGCCATAGATGCAGGTGAAATGTCAGGAGAGAATGCTTCTGGAACATAGCCATACAGCCCAGAACACACACAACAACCCACTGATTCCAGCCATGAAAAGTCTTCAACAGTACATTTCTAGTTTTTTAAAAAATTCAATCTTTAATGTGCCAGGGGACCCTGCAACCTATTTCTTTTTCTTTCCAGACTGGGTCATTTCTGCTCTGGATAGTTTCTACTGCTTCATGGAGCTCTCTAGATCAAGGAAGTCCAGGAGATGCAATTCACCCTTTTTTTGGCCAAGAAATGGTTGTCCCAGAGAGTCTGAAGGTGATAAGGGTTGTGAAAACAATCTTGGCACTGCATGAAAAAAAACTTTTTAAAAAGGGCTTTAACTAAGTTATGTCTCTGTATTTTTTGGCACTGTCTTATACTCACCCACCCCCGAAGAGGATAGAGTTACTATGCATTGCTTCCCAAGGGAACAGAACCACCAACTATATTACCAGACTCTAACATCCTAGCTTTAACGGATACAGGTTACAATTGGGAGCTCAGAGGAGATAACTGTGCAGCCAGCATGAGATAAACAATTTCTGTTGATGTATAAGTGTGAAAATAATCTAACTGCAGCAAAACCACATTAACCTACGAGTCGCTTTTAAGACAAACCAACCCTACCATATGGCCAAACACGCAGCTTAAAATAATAATTCCACTAACGGTACCCAATGACCACAGTAAACAGCAAATGTTAGAGATACAAACACAGTAACGTCATTGTTTTTGTGCAACTAGTAGAACTTGAGTAAGAGAGAAGGAGAAGATACAGCAAAAAGTATGGCTTCCAGTTCTGACTCCCACTGTGGGAGTCAGAACTAAGGTTGTTATGTGTTTTCTGGGCGGTATGGCCATGTTCCAGAAACATTATCTCCTGACTGTGGGAGTCAGAACTTAAGCGAAATGAGTATATACTATAATCTCAGTGAATTGTGTGTCTCTTAAAGGAACAGCTGTACATATGACAGGAGTTGCTTATTGAAGAATGGCTTGAGTAAGATGGAAGGGTGCTAAGTCAATACATGCTAAAGGGCTCTAAGACTAGAGAATCCAGTCAGTGATATCCCCTCTGTGAACCATGTGGGTATAATTCAGCTTAAAGGAGTATGAATAAGGGGAGATTGTTCAACCTGCCCCATGACAGGTACTTTCTTTATCCTAGCTTGGTAAGCCTAGGTAACTGCATCTGCCAACCTGCAACAATAAGAATGGGATAGGAGATATTTAGGGCCCTTCCACACAGCCATATAACCCAGAATATCAAGGCAGAAAATCCCACAATATCTGCACTGAAATGGAATATATCGTAGTGAGGACTCAGATAACCCAGTTCAAAGCAGATATTGTGGGATTTTCTGCCTTGATATTCTGGGATGTAGGGCTGTGTGGAAGGGCCCTGAGTACCTGTGCTATGACCTCAGGAATCATGAAAGGCATGATGCAGTCCTAAGCAGATCTGTTGAGCTGAAACAAACAACTAACCACAGCCATCTTTCTGACAGTGAGAATGCAGGTTTCTTCTGGAAATAAGACTGAGGAATGCAGGGATCTCACATGAGCTCCTGTGAGGAGGTGGGTTCAGGCTGCAAGGTTTTCCTTTCCTTTCCAGGTAGGGTCCTTTCTGCTTTGGAGTGTTCCCATGTCTTCATGCAGCTCTCTATTGCAGGGACTGTCCTGGCTTGGAACATATACACACACAGCCTCCCAAAGAACAAAGTAGATGTTATAACAGCTGCAATTCCTGCTGTTGCCAGTGACCAGCTTTGCTGCATAGAGGCTGTGGCTTCTTGAAAACTGCTTGTGTCGCAACTCAAATGATTTATAAAATCATCTGTGTACCTCCTGAGCCAGGGCATTCAATAAGTAATCAGCTCTACACAAAAGAACCAGTCACTGACAGGAGCAGCAGCTGACGTAACTTCGAACTCCTATGGCATTCTTCTGTTGGGTGCTCTTTTTTGGTAAACAAGAAGGCGATAGGCAAAGAGCTACTGAATCCTTCTCTCCATTGAGAATGGAGCTTATAGTTGGGTAGGGAACACACTCTCATCTTCCTCCCTTTTGGGTGGCTGTGGGGGATCTACAGTTGCATGTAATTTGGCAGCACATATGCTAAAATTGGCACAACAGATGCATTACTAATGCTGCATCCAGCAAGTGGGGCACAATTTATATTACTGTTGGTGGTGCAAGGTAAGTTGGGCATTTCAGCTTCCATCTTGGGTGGTGGAAGACCTCAGGTTATTCCTGAAAGGTGGGAGAGGGGATTGGGCAGCTGAAGGAAGGAAAAGGAGGCTATGTCTTCTTTTTGGAAGGGACTGGCTGAACAAGAACCTTAAATACATGGAGTCAGCTTTGTTATCCAAAATGACCTGGTGAAGCATCTGTTTGAAGCACCCATCGGCATAACCGAATGACTCTCATCCCTCCGAATTAATCTTGTCAAAAACCAGCAGGCAACTATTGTAAATGGCTATGCACCAACTTTAGATGTGACAAAGACATCATGGAAAAATTCTACTGTCAGCTGGAAATCACCATATCCGAGATATCTGAGAGGAACAAAATTATCCTCCTGGGCAATTTTAACACAATAGTTGGATGAGAATTCAATCTATGGCAAGGGACAATAGGTTAAAGATGGGTTTGGAAACAGAAACTCAAATGGCATCTTACTTCTAACCAAATGTGTGGAACACAAACTTGTCATCATCAACACACTCTTCCTTCAAAAAAAATGGAGGCACATGGAAGTCAAAGCACTGGCATCCCAATCACAGTAGTGCCTCAACTGCTAGTAACACCATCCTCGAATGTGTTACTGCATTCTTTTTCCCCATGAACTTTTAAAAAGCTTTTCCTGGATGAGTGGGAATTTCCAAATCTTGAAAGTTTCTACATGACTAGGTATCTAAAACTACAAGTTAGTGGAGTAATTTCTAAATATGTTACACTTTCATTGAAAGTTTTGAGGCTAAAACCATATGCCTTAAAGGCATAAATATTAACAAAACAAGAGACTTGAAAGTCCCCTATTGAGGTCATTAAGAAGGAAGAAGTGTTTCTGGATGAGGTAATGCATAAGGAGCACTTGGTCACAAGTTAATTTACTGCTAAATGTCTGCATTGTGTCAGAAGGCTTAGCTTTTAAATACTTTTTAAATCTATGTTTTCTCAAGCCTTATTCTCTGATGCACAGAGATGACCTTCAGTGGCCAGCTACAGACTTGAAATATAACATCCTGGCTTTAATCTCTTCTTTATGATCCCCTTTTCAAACACAGAGGTTCTGAAACAAATAGTTCCAACACTGAGCAAGAATAGAATTGTTCCTAAAAGTCCTGAGACCTGGATATTTGAAGGACTCTTCCACAAACTTACCTTGTTCATCCACTGAGCACTTCTTCCATATTCTTCTACCCTCGCAGGAGATTTCATTGATACATGGCTTGTGCCCAATTTGGTCACACCATCTCTACTGTGGAACACCATCTCATACATGTTTCAGTGATTTTGTTCCACCCGTCTAGCAAGAACATAGGTTTTTGTGATTGTTTTATTGTGATTTAACTGGTTTCATAGACTCTGCTCCTTATCAGTATGCATGTTTTTATAATTCTAAGGTATGGTGTAATAGGTTGTTGTCAGTTTTCTGGGCTGTGTGTACATGTTCCAGAAGCATTATCCTGATGTTTCACCATCTATGGCAGGCATCCTCAGAGGTTGTGAGGCAGGCACCCTCACAACCTCCAAGGATGCCTGCCATAGATGAAGGCAAAACGTCAGGAGAAAATGCTTCTGGAACACGGCCATATAGCCCACAAAACTCACAACAACCCAGTGATTCTGACCATGAAATACTTCAACAATATATGGTGTAATAGTTTGAGTGTTAGACTAGGACTTTGGGAGTTGAGAGATTGAATTCCAACATGGAAACCAACTGGGTGACCTTGGTCAAGTAGCACTCTCTCAATCTCAATGGCAGTGGTAACCCCCTTCTGAACAAATTAATAAAATCATCTGATAGGTTCACCTTAGGCTCACCATAAGTGGAAAAAAACTTGAAGACACATAACCACAAGGTATCTTGAGGTCATCCTTGGTCAATAAAACGAGACTAAATTATTTTCACAAATTCACAGATCTAATCAACTAATGTTAAAGTGTTACCAAAATTTGTGGTTTCTTGATTTGCAAATGAAGGTGGGAAGAGGGGAGAATATAAAGGTGATTCCATTTTCAAATGTGTGGGAGAAGGTTACCCTGAGAGAAATATATTTGTGTGTGTGTGGGGGGGGGGGGGTTACCTCAGATCATAATGGCACTCTGGAAAATTTGGTTGGCCTTGGCCTCTGCATTCATCATCAGTGAACAAAGTGGCTTTCCCCTCTGTCTTGTTTTGTTTCAAGAAAAACAGGAAGAGAGAGGTGAATCTATAAACCCACAGCTCTGTTTGTATAATTACTTTCACTCCCCGTCCCAGAAGTGCTCTTCTTATGCTTGAGAGTAGAAACCATTAAAAAAGTAAATCTGAACCCATGCGTGGAAGAAGTTTCATAGCAAACACTATTTACGTCAA